CTTGAGCTGTATGCCTTCTGACAGACATCACTCGCTAATTTTTATCTACTTTCTCTATATCAACTTGAGCTGTATGCCTTCTGACAGACATCACTCGCTAATTTTTATCTACTTTCTCTATATCAACTTGAGCTGTATGCCTTCTGACAGAAATGATTTGCTAATTTTGTCCATTTTCCAGAAACACCCTTGCGCAAGTAAGTGATTCAATTTAATGGAATTGTCAGTTCTTACCAAACCCAGAGTTAGACCCAGCCAAAATGTCAGGGCTGTCGTCTAGTTTATCTGGGGAAAGTCCCGAACGTAACGGTCTCATTGCCCGCCTTGGCCCGCGAAAAAAGTGCCGGCGTGCTCCAAACGTAGTCAGTTGCTTCATCCGTCTTTCTTTAGACCGTCGATTTTGGAACCAAACCTATCAGAAAAAAAACAAACAAAAAAGAACAAGTTTTCATCGTGATTATCATTGAGATATATGAGCAAACGACCTCTACTGAAGTCTTTGAAAGGATCAAAGCAGCAATTAGGCTTATAACAAATGGTAAGTGTATAGTTTTCTAAATTTAATATATTTCGTTTTTATTATTAATAGGTGGTGAGGTTTAAGAAATACTTCCGAATCAGCACGTAAAGGATCACTAAACTGTTGTGTACAATAGTTACAATAGTATTTGATAGTATTGTATTACGTTGTTTTCTTATGTAAGCCCCAGTAAAGCCTAATTCAGAGTTTATAACCACTGAATAACAATCATAAATATAACAGCTTCCAAGTTATATTCGGATATGCTGCTCTTCATCTTTTAGAAGTGTGAAACTAAACAGGCAGGAAAATGAGCCGCTGCAAGCAGCGAAGTAAGCTGTGAAAGTAACATATACTTAAACAAGCAGAGAGGAAAATCTCGCATATGCACACAGAGCTTTTTGTTTGTTTGTTCGTTATTAAGCGCAAAGCTATACAATATACTATCTATACTGTGTCCGTCGCGGGTATCAAAACCCGGTTTTTAGCGGTATAAGATCTGAGAATTACCTCAAAAATTACGGTAGCCAAACAGTTTATTAAAAAGATAAATTTACGACGAATGATTTCGGTTACTGCCGAAACCGAGGCCTTACGGGCTGATCAGTACATGTATGTATATATATACAATTTGACAAAATGCACAACTACATTTTAAAGTGTTTTCTATTTTTTCCAAGCGCATGTCACTCATGCATTTCCCCTAGAAGATGATTGTTTGCCAGATGGATTCGTAGTAAGCACTAAATAAAACCAAACAACACGAACATGGCCACAGCACGTTTAGTATGATGAGAAACATTTATATTTTTAAGTTGGAACTTCCACTCTAGAATCAGCAAGAGCGCCGAGTGCATTTGCAAAGTGCAGTTTGAAAGCAATATAACCATAGTCCATCTCCCGGTGGGACAGCGATAAGTTTATGGACTTACAACGCTAAAATCCAAGGTTCAATTCCCCACGTTGGACAGCAGATAGTGCAATGTAGCTTTGCTCTAAAACAAATAAACAAACAAACGAGAACTGTAATCTTGATAGAACAGTTCCCTTAAAAAAGAAAAACAGCTAAAGGTCGCCTAAATTTCTCTGGTGTGGAATAAACATAAACATAAAAAATATTGATTCGTTTGCAATTGAATCATGATTAGAATCACTTGCAAGTGGATTATGTGTGAAAGTGCCCTTATAACTCTTTTTTAAAAGCTTGTTTAGAAATAGATTTTACCAAGAAATTCTCTGAAACAATAGGTACGCGATTTTATATACTCATCCGGATGGAATGTGATCAACGATTAGCCTAACGGAATGTGAAGCTGAGGGTCTGTGGTTCGTGTCCTGTTAGCGCGATGAAACAGAAAAAAAATCGCCTTCCTCACTTTGATGCGCGTTATACAAGTGACTGTCAAATCCTACTATTCGGTCTGAAACAAGTGTTGACTAACTGTCTTCCCTGTATCATTTCAAAAGCTTTGTGCCTAATCGAATAAACAAACAAAGGAACGAACAAAACATTATGAAACCTAAGTTAATGTCATGGTGTTGAATGCCTAAGGTCCTCCAGGTGGGTCAGCTGGGAGTTTACGTACTTACAACACTAAAATTCTGGGTTCGACCTCGGTAGACAAAACACAAATAGCCCATTGTATAACTTTGCGCGAAAACAACACACACACACACAGCTTCTTAAACTCTGCACTTTAAAGGAGGGCTTCATTACACTGTTTAGGCCTAGAAAATTAATAGTATGACATTTTAGGCCTAATAGTTAGACCGCATTCAGAATCATTAACAACAATAAAATCAAGGGTGAAATTCTCAAAAAAAAAAGTAGAGGTATTCAGCTGGGTGAAATAAACATGTTTAAAAAATCTATGTAAACGACAAAGCAGCTCAAATAAGTCCCGGTACTGGTACCGCCTTTAAAAATAAGTTCCGGTACTCAGTGCCGGTGAGTGCCGACAGAATTTCACCCTTGAATAAAATAGACTAGAGAATAAGAATAATTATCAGAATGTTATTTTATCATTAATAATATCAATTATTTCTGGACTGTTCTTAATTATGCTTGTTTGTTTGTTGTTAAGCACAAAGCTACACAATAGGCTATCTTTGCTGTGCCCACCACGAGTATCGAAACCTGGTATTTAGCGCTATAAATCTTCAGACCTACCACCTTCCATTGGCATAATTCAACTATGTTAAACTTATTATATTTAAAGAAACAAAAACGTCGTTAGCAAACACATAAATATTGATGGCAGTGGGAACTTGATGATTGATAAAAACTCTTCTTTCCTGGAGGTTATGGCGATCGACTCACAGTCTGTAGGTCGCAGGATCGAAACACGATGCCGATGTCAAACGTGTTTACTCTTTTAGCAGAGGGGGAGTGATAATGATACGGTCAAGTGCACTATATGTTGACAAGAACTGGCCGTGGGAGCTGTTGACAGCTTGTCTTCCGTGTGATCGGCAGATCAAAATTAGGGACGGCGACAGGTAGTCTTAGTAGCTTTGCCATAAAACAAACAGACAAAATGTCCTGTCTTCATCTGCTTATCTTTATTTTAGTTGTATTAAATTATAATTTACTATTTACCACAGTTCAGTGGCTTAAAAAAGGGCGCTTTGTTTTTAAACTAGCTTACTCTGTCAGTTAGCACAACATCCATACAGTTACAACCATTTTGTAAAGGCTGCAGCATAAGAACGGACCTCTTGCGGCGGAAAAGTGTAATAAATTAAAATTCATGACATTTAGTGTTATTAAGTGATATGTGAATGGAGATTAAGAACTGCTCGGAAAGACGCTTCACGTGAACTGTATTTGAAACGATATTATATATTTACTACTTAAACTGGTCAATTTTGTTCTTAACGACTTATTTTTAATATGAATTAAAGTGTCCAACATTCGTTGGCGAATGCAACATGTCTTCGCCACGCAATCCTAACATTGCCAGTTTTGATATCAGAAACAATTGCGAAAAATATCTATATCACTGCTTGGAACCTGCAACTATCATATAAGTTGCTTGACATACACATAAATAGTTCAAGAAAACCCCAAATTGTATTTTCCTCGATAAGAAATCGAGAAAAAAACAAAAGTTTCAAAATTGTCTATATCTCTGTTTGGTACATGCAAAGAGTATCTTTGTATGAAATACCATGTAAATTGGTGGAAACAAAGCTAAGTAATTGACTCAAACCCCTAAAATTATGGGTTTATTTAACCTTTTAATCCCGTAAAATGACCAAAAATGGGCCTATCTCACATTTTTTTATGTGTAAAAAATTTCTTTGCACCACATCCCAAATAATTTGGCCGAAATATGGCGGAGTAATTGCCAAAGAAACAACAACTAAAATTATGCTTTTTTTGGCATCTTGACCCCTCCCCCTCTATAATTACTAAAAATTAGCAAGTCCACCATCTTTGTTTGTCAATGTGTGGGACTTGTAGAAAAGTATCTTTGTACCAAATCCTATGTAAATTGGTCAAAATATGGGCGAGTAAATAACAGGTTGAGCGAAGACTGTCGTGTTTCACGCTGACAAGAAGTAAAGGTGTCGCATGAAGTCGTCAAATGGTAACAATCTCGTTTGTGTGTGGTTTTGTCAGATTTCCTGATGAATCACTACACGCAGTATATATATATATATATATATATACATTGTTATTATTATTATATTTCCCTCGGTAGCATACTTCACAGTTAGTGTCTAGGTATGTCAATACACACGCTGATTCGCCTGAGGCGTGTTACTCGAGGAAACTGCTTGTCAATTACAGAGCGGCATGTTGTTTGGAGTACAGACTCTCACGGTGTTCTTGTCACCTAACTCTTTGTTCAACAAAAATACCCGCGATTTCTTATGTTGGGCCAGCATGACGTGATGAAACAGGAATAGAGGTTTCGTTCACTTGTCTTGAGTACGTTTTTCATTAAAAATAACTAAGTAATAAAAAAAATCCATGCTAAAGGTTAATCATACACTTAGCAAAATTCAACATTGTTGGATTTTCAATCTATAAGATTGAAAAACAGTAATCCAATATATACGTATATTTTTAATCGACAGAAGCAGTTGATTTAAAAAAAAAACTAATTAAAAGATCTTCTACCGTCAGGCTGTGCCCATGGCGAATATCTAAATCCGATTTTTACCGTTATAAACCCCCAGACATGCCGATAAGACACCAGGGAAACTAATTTATGTCAATACGTAATAGCGATAAATAAAGATTGTGTTAAATAGTCGTACAACTGACGAAGAAAACTATTTAAAAGCTATACATAACAGAAATTTAAATTAATGCGAAAAAAGAGGGGTAGATATGGCTATAACTCACTGTCTGCTGTTTTATGTTTAGTATTTAAATTGTAATCGTTGATATTAATACAACTTCACAACTTTTTTCTATCACGTAAGGATTTTCTTTTACAAATCGGATAGAAAAAAACTCTTTCTTAGATCAAAATTATTATTCCGTTTACCACAATGAACACTTTTTATTATTTTGTTTGTTAACAAAAATACAAACAAACTGAAGAACAGAGAAAAACATCAATGTCAAACGAATATGCAAATTTATTAATCCTGATTTATTTTGTGAAATCTACGTCGTTTAGTCTCAAACTACGTGTTGTGGTCTTTGTTTTATGTATTGCGTTATGACGTTTTGTGAAAACTCTGTACGCGATGGAGAAAAAAGGATATGATTTTCGGATTCAGCGTACAGGAATTACCGTAGAGCAGGTAAAAATGTCAAGACAATAAAACCATCACAAGCCTGTGTAATTTGCACATTCACTGGAATTCAACCCTTTTTTACTACACATATACTAAATATTATTAAAAATCCATTGCCAAAGTTATTTGTACTG